GTCTCAGCCGGTTTTGCACCTAACAGTCCTGTTTCTTCCAATAGATCAAGAACATATTTTCGTTGGCACAAATTTACACCTTGTTTTGACCTGGCAATTTCTATTCACAAAAAATACTTCAATGTTCCAAGATCTTTTGTTTGGAAATGATTTTGCAGAAATACCTTTAATTTGCCAATCCCCAATTTATCACTGCCAGTAATGACAATATCATCCACATAGACCACTAGTAGAATCTTCCCAACTTCTGAGTCATAGCTGAATACTGAGTGATCTACCTGGCACTGCTTCATTCCAAAACTCTTCACCACTTCACTGAACTTCCCAAACCAAGCACGCGGTGATTGTTTCAACCCATAAATTGCCTTCTTCAATCTGCATACCTTACCATCCTCCCCCTGAGCAACAAACCCAGGTGGTTGCTCCATATATACCTCCTCCACAAGATCACCATGGAGAAAGGCATTCTTTATATCAAGCTGAAACAGAGGCCAATCACACATAACTGCCAGGGAAATTAATACACGAACAGAACCAATCTTAGCCACCAGAGAGAATGTATCCATGTAGTCCACTCCATACAACTGTAAGTAACCTTTAGCAATAAGTCTGGCCTTCAGACGCTCCACACTACCATCTGGCAAGTATTTCACAGTATACACCCATTTACAGCCCACAACATGCTTATCAGGTGGGAGAGTAATAAGTTCCCACGTTTGAGTATGTTGAAGAGCAGAAAGTTCCTCCTCCAATGCCCGCCGCCAACCAGGTGAACTGAGAGCTTCTTGAACATTGTTAGGTATGGAAATAGAGGATAAAAGGGAAACAAACTGGCGATGTGAGGTAGAAAGGCGAGATAATGAAACAAAATTGGAAATGGGATGGAGGGTAGAACTGCGTTTACCTTTCCGTAAGGCAATGGGTAGGTCAAGGTCTGAAGGTTCAACAATAGGACCCATGAGAGGATCCGAAAATGAGGTAGAAGCTGGAGGAGGGGCCGGTGTCGTTCGACGTGTATACACTTGCCGGATTGGTGGACGTTCGGTGGTGATTTGCACGGGATGAGGTGATGAGTCTATTCCAACAACAGCATTTGGAACTAGATCACTGACAGGAAGAGGAAGAGGAAGGACGGGTGGAGACGAAGGCGCTTCAAGACTTGAGAAGAAGGGGGCTGACTCAAAAAAAAGGTGACATCAGGGCAGACATAACACTTCTGGGTAATGGGATTATAACACTTGTACCCTTTTTGAATCCGTGAGTAGCTAAGGAATACACATTTAATTGAGCGTGCATCTAGCTTGTCTATTCCAGGGCTCAGATTGTGAACAAAGCACACACAACCAAAGACACGASGAATTAATGGGAATGGAGATAAAGTGGGAAACAAGATAGAGAAGGGGGACCGACCATGAAGGATGAAGGAG